CAAAAGCTCGGAACCTGCTGTCTCCTTTTGATATCAACCAAGGAGTAGGGAGGTTATTGAGGAGCCCTGGTGGCGAAGTGGGTTATGAATTGGGCTGCTAACTGCAAGGACAGCAGTTCGAGACCGCCAGCTACTCCTTGGGAGAAAGATGAGGCTTTCTGCTTCCACAGAGGCAGTTCTACTCTGTCTGTACAGTCGCCACGAGTCGGAATGGACTCAGTGGCCGTGAGCCTTTTAGTTTGAAGGACGGTTAATGGAGACCTTCTCCTTGTAGTAGTCAGGCCAACTGGGGTGTCCTCATGTCACCCGCACCTCTTGAGTGCAACCTGTGGATGTTTGCAGAACCTTCAGCCCTGTGCACCGCCTGCCACTGTGGTCGAAGCCTGTGGTCAAGGCAGAGGGGGTGTGTGTTTGAAGCCCGTCACTGTTTTCAGATCTTTGTCTGCAAAGCCTGTTTCAGCTTAGCCTTTTTTCACCCCGAATTAAATGATTTATTTGAGACGATTATAGATCCACATGTAGATCAGCGAGATCCCCCGTACCTACCATCTAGTTTTTCTCAGTAGTAACATCTTGTAGAATTCTTGTGTAATCCTACTCTCAGCCAAGCCCCTGCCATCGATCTGATTCTGACTCATAGCCACCCAATAGCATAGCACAGAGCTGCCCCATAGGCTTTTTGAACCTGTAAATCTTGGTGAGGGCAGACAGCCTCCTCTTTCTCCTGTAGAGAAGCTGGTGGGTTGGAATTACCAAACGTGTGGTTAGCAGACCAATACTGAAATCATTGGACCACCAGGGATCCTTTGTATAAAATTATGTGCAATGGAACCCCCCACCCCACTCCCCACCCCCACACAGATACATGAGTTCATTTAAAGCTGGGGAAACCCAAGTACAACGGATGGCTTATATTATTAATGTTCGTATCCTGGTTGTAATATAAATTTAGCCGTTCTGCTTGCTATGTAGGAGCCCTGATGGTGTCATGTTATATATTGGTTGCGTACAGAGGTTACATGCAGTCGCTAACTGCAAGGTCAGCAGTTCGAAACCACCAGCCGTTCTGCAGGAAAAAGATGGGACTTTCTACTCCTGTCAAGAGTTACTGTCTTGGAAACTCACAGGGGCAGTTCTACCCTGTCCTGTTGGGTTGCTGTGAGTCCGCATCGACTCGGTGGCCGTGAGTTGTTTTGAGGATATGTAGTGAGATCTTACTGTGGTTTTGATTTACATTGTTCTAATGGGGAGTGAGGTGGAACCTCTTCTTCTATGTCTGTCATCTGCGTGCCCTGTTCATGTACAAGGGACCTGTCTATCCTCTTGGGTGAAATAGCTGTTCGTAGCTTTGACCGTGTTCTCATGGGATGTCATTTATGTTTTTACTGGTGAGTGTGCTGTTGTTTGATGAAAGCTTTGTGGAGATGTTATTTACACACCGTACCGTCCACCCACTGAAAGGATACAGTTTGATGGCTTTTAGTTCATTCACAGAGTTTTAGTTATCACCAGAATGAATTCTAGAACATGTTGATTCCCTCCAAAAGTAACCCTGTGCCCGTTTCTTTCTAACCTTCCCCTCACCCTGCATCCTGTTCCAGGCAACCGCTAACCGATGTCCGTCTCTGTAGATTGGCCTCTTGGGGACGTTTGTTTAAAGGGGACCAGCTGACACGTGGTCCTCTGCGACTGGTTTCTTCCGCTTGGCATAATCCTTTCAAGGTTCTCTTGGGCTGCACACGTCCCGGGCCTTCCTGCCCCTTTCTCCTCAAACACGTCGCATTCCTTGGGTTACATTTGATGTCTCATCTCTCAGTGGGCCATTTGGGCTGTTTCCACCTTCTGGTTTTTCCAGGTGATCTTTCCGTGTCCGTCCATGCACCATTTTATGCTGACTGATGCTGTTCTTTCGCTTGGAGTTGCTGGCTCGTACGGCAACTCTATGCTTTGCCTACGGAAGAACTGCCAGGCTGTTGTCCCGAGTGTCTGTACCCTTTTACATTGCCCTCTGAACTTGACGAGGGTTTTGGTTTCTCTACATTCTTGTCAACGCTCCTTAGGGTCTTCCGTTGTGAACGTGGCCTTCCTCGTGGGCCTAGCGTAGTGCCTCACAGCATCTGTGCTTCCGCTGCGCTCTGAGCCCTCTTCATGTAACCCGACACTGGTCCTTGGTTGGCAGGCCAGTGAGCATTTGGGCATCAAGTCAAGGAGCTTGTCTCAGCGTGGCCTTCTGCCCTGGCCATCAGTTCCTGTAGAAAGACCTCATTAACTTCCTGGGAGATCCAGAAACCGGGCGGCAGACGTGGTGGGAGAGAGGAGGAAGGATGGGGTATCTGGGAAGCCATAGTCTTCTCTTGGTGCTATGAAGGCTTTTGAAAAATAATTCCTGTCTCCATTCCTGGTTCTCCTTCAGACCCTGGAGGAGGAGCTGTTCGGGAACAACGAGGAGAGCCTGGCCTTCAAGGAGTTCTTGGAGCTGCTAGGAGATACAGTCATGCTGCAGGACTTCAAAGGGTGGGTTTCAGCCAAGAATGGTCTGACTCCATTGATGAGGCCCTAGTTCAAAGACTGGGGGTTGGGGGGTGGACATACAGCAATGGGGTGCAAGAGTTAACAACACAGACACAGGAATGGGATTGGCTTTCAGCACACCAGGAAGGTGTACCAGCATTCCTAGGGAAAAGGTGGTGCAGGCATAGCCCCGAATGGCGGGTCATGGGGAAAGGCACTGACATGCGGCCCGAGGATGCCTGATGACCATGCTCCCAGACAGACTGGCCTTTCCAAGTGCTTTTCACTCCAGCCGAGAGGGACGCGCCCCTTCCTCTCTTCTTGCTCACCTGCCGGGCCATTAGGGAAAGAGGGCCAGAGTGCCCTTGCACTTTTGGGGTGCAAAACCCTTTTAAGATAATATATGAAGAAGGGATAGTTATGTGTTGGTGTAAACACAGTAAGCCCATATACCCATTCATTAGTCATTTCTCAGCCCACCCTGGCCTACCCCCCTCCAGCCCCAGGTTTCCGTCTCTAGTCCGTCTCTGTGGATTTGTCTGTTCCGGATAGTTCATTTAGCTGGCATCATATAATATGTGACGTTTTGTGGCTGGCTTGTTCCGCTGAACCTGTTTTTGATGCTCATCCCTGTTATAGCACGCATCCGTACTCCACTCCTTTTGAAGGCTGAGGAGTATTCCATTGTAATGGCTACATTCCTGTTAGTTATTCATTCATCCATCGATGGGCTTTTGGGCCACATCCACCTTTCGGCTATTATGATAATGCTACTTCCAACATGCATGTGCATCCATCCCTCACTTATCAGCCACCCCGTTATCTGACATTTCCTATTTACAACAATAGGGAAAAAATTGGCTATCTGACTATTTCACACATTCAGGACAAACATCTGGCAGCCACAACACGGCAGTGTGAGGCAGGAGTAACGCCCACTGTGACGGTTAAGGTTTGTGGCTGGCACAGATTCCCAGTGGTTCGGCAGTTACGCAGGGATGTGAGCTAGTAGTTATACAGCAAGGCCGCCCGCCATCCTCTACTTGGTGGTCTGACTCTGGCTTCCTCTGTTTTCCCCCACGGCCGATTTTCACTCCTGGACAACCAGGTCTTTGGAACGAGTCATGCCATGAACTGAGCAGTGGGCGTGGGTTTGTTTGAGTTCCTGTTTTCAGATCTTTGGGTTGGTACCTAGCAGTGTACTCGCTGGGTCACATGGTAATTCGATGTGTAACCTTTTGAGGAACTGCCAAGCTTTTCTGACAGAGGCCACTCCGTTTTACATCCCCGGCCAGCCACGTCCTCACTCCTCACTGCCATCGAGCTGAGCTGATTCACCGGGACCCCCAGTGGATTTCCGAGGCTGTAATTGTTCACAGCAGTAGAAAGCCTGGTCTTTCTCCCAAGGAGCTGTTGGCGGTTTCAAAGCACCGATACGTGGCTCACAGCCTAACGGTAGCCCCTCCGCCACCAGGGCCCTTACCAGCATGCAGGTGGGGCCAGATTTCTCTACATCCTTGCCAGTGCTTTTTAGTTGTGCATCTACAGCAGTGGGTCGAAAGGACTGCCCCTGCCTATTAAGTAACAGAGTTATAGTCAGGACCTGTGCACGTCTGTTCTGAGGAGCAAATCTACCTGCTCCCCTATCCTAATTCTCTCTACCCTCAGGCCCCCTGCTGCCCACCCCCCCTGTCTTTGGGTTCATGCCCTCACCCCGTGCACTTTGGAAAGTTTGCACGTCACCCATGTCTTAACTCTCTCTCCTGACTCCTGCCCTGTTCGCCTGACAGCTTCCGAGGAGGCCTGGATGTGACCCACGGACAGACAGGGGTGGAATCCGTGTACACAGTCTTCCGGGACCGGGAGATCATGTTTCACGTCTCCACAAAGCTGCCCTTTACTGAAGGCGACGCCCAGCAGGTAACCTGGTTTGGGAGGGCTTTGGGAGCCCCGGGGCCAGGTGAGGTGAAGGCAGGCTTCCTGTCCCCATCGTCCGACCTGCCCGAGGGACCTGAATCCCCTCTCCGTGTTCCTGGTCCATTTCCAGTTATGTGGGGTCTTCGAAACCAGCTCTCTTGGCTATGTTCCCTCTCCACGTGGGCAGCGCCGTGTCCCTGTGTGGGAGGCGGGGCTGGGCCCCTGTCGTTCTCACCTGGACCCGTGAGAGTGCCGCTCAAGGTGGCCGACAGTCTTTCTTAGGCTTTGCAGCTTCTTTGGAGGGCGGTCGAATAGACAAGGGGCAGAGCTAGAAGCAGAGCCGGGTCCTCATTTTACAGGTGACGGGGTCTGCTCAGGGAAGCTGGGAGACCAGCTCTGCCCCTGATGTGGCTAGGCAAGCTGCTTAACCGTGTGTCCTATTTGCAAACGACACCCTTGACCGCCAAGGGTTGTAGCGGGGATTAGGATCGCTCTGAATATACATTCAGCACCTGGCCTGCTTACGGTGAGAGTGCTGCAGAGGGCTCTTGCCTATCTATCCGCCACTAGCCTTCTGCCTGCCTTCCTGCCCCTCCGACGTGAACCTGGTGATTGCCTGAGACCATCGCCCCGACCACAGCCGCATCCTTGCCCCGTTTGCCTGTGGTCAGGAATCCAGCCTTCACCTTCTCCAGGGAGCTGAAGGGAGGCCCCTGCTCCCGGGTGTCTTTTCCCTTCTCCCCACTGGCCCCTCTGACAGCCATGTGGCCCAGGAGGGCCGAGCGCTTCTCCCTGAGCCCCCCAACCCGCAGCTGGTCACCATTTGCCTGGCCCCACTCTGCCGGCCTGTTTCGATCTCTAGGAAAATGAGGAGGGCGAGTAGCCCTGTGCCCACACTGAGCCCCGTTTGTTTCCGAGCAGCGAGCTGTGGGAAGGGAGCTCGGATGTAAAACTGTAAACATAGGGCCTGGCTGCGGAGGAAAACAGGAAGCCGGCCAACAGGACTATGATTTGGCCCCCAAATCATGTTCCAGAAGCAAGTGGAAGCAGGGCTCCTTTTGTATCCCCGGTAGGTTGCCTCGAAGCGTTTCACCATCAGTCTTTGTCTCAGCTCCGGCTCCTTGCACCCCAGCCCCAGTTCTTGGCCAGGACTGACTACGTAGCCACTCCAGCTTCTCAAGAAGTGACGTGGTACACGTGTGGCCTAGGAGAGATGACTTGGGTAAAAGTGCCCCACATGGCACTGAGTGTCCAGCGGGTGCCCGGCGTCGTGCCTGCAGTCAGTCGCTCAGCCACTCGCCACTCGCAGGCAGTTCTGGCTCGCAGCGACTGCGCGGGACAGCGGCGAGCTGCCCCTGTGAGTGTCGAGACCGCAGGAAGTTGTTTTTGCGAGGTGCTATGCAGTCGGTTCTGACCCATAGGACCCGGTGTCCAACAGAACCCAAGGCAAAGAGCTGGCCTCTCCGGCACCACCGCCCCAATCGTTCCTCTGCTGGGGCCCACTATTACAGCCACGGTGTCCATCCATCGTGCCAAGGGACTTCCTCCCCTCCGCTTCACCCAGCACGATGCCCTGCTCCAGGGGCCCCTCTCTCCTGTCAGCATGTCCAAGACACAGGAGAGGAAGTCTCCCTTTGCTTGCCTCTAAGGAGCATTCTGGCCGTACTTCTTCCAAGACAGATTTGTTTGCGTGCAGTAGTAGGTGCTTGATATGTAGATCAATGCTAGCCAGGACATGGTGTACGGCAGGGGCTTGCCATTGAAATCCTGCGTGCAAAGAGCCTGAACTGATGGGCTGGCTCCAGATTCCCAGCAGGGGCTGGGTGATCGGGGTCATGAGCTTGGGATCCTGGATCAAGACCAGCTTTCTCTCCCCTCCAGGACCTCCCCCAAGCGAGGCTGCCCTTCCTCTCTTAGCTTGACCCGCCACTCTGTAGCGTTCTGTCTCCTCAGCTCTGCCAGTCTGCGTCGCATCCCGTCTCCATTAAGACCCAGTCGCTGCCCAGAGTCCTCTCCTCGGATTACCCTGTCAAGTCACCCTAGGTGCAGCCGTAGCCGACCGGCCCTGCTCTTGTAGCAGCTGACTGAGCATGTGTTTGGTGGGTGGCTTTGTTAGTGCTCTCAGGTGGCCCCATCTGTGTTGGTGTCTCTCAGTGACACAGTTACAGCCTTTCCAAGTGAGAGGTGGCCTCACCTTTTAAGTGTCCCTCCTTGGTTCTGAGTCAGCTTTTGTATACTGTAGAGCTCAATAAGATGTTAACTACCCTCTGCCTAGCAGCGCGTGCGCACGCGAGAGACGTCTACAGATGGAAGGCGCTCCCTGGAGATCTAGGTCTCAGAGGTCTAAGAGACGTCTAAAGAGACGTAACAAAGGCTTTCTGGTCCAGGACGGTTTGGTTTTCCAGAATGCTTTTACCTGGCTTATAACAAAGGAACCCCTTTCACTTAGCTCCAGAGAAAGAGACACATTGGCAATGACATTGTGGCCATCATCTTCCAAGAAGAGAACACGCCCTTCGTCCCAGATATGATCGCCTCCAATTTCTTACACGCCTACATTGTTGTGCAGGCTCAGAACCCAGCTACAACGGAGACCCCATCCTACAAGGTAAGGCGACGCCGGTAGGGGGACGTGGTGGGCGCAGACGCCTCACCAGGCCTTAGGGATTCAGCAAGATCAAAGGGGATGCTCTTGACACTGGGCAGGCCATTCTCCAAAATGGCGTTCCCAGCCCTGCGTCCTGAGCCCTGGTGGTGTGCTGGGATATGCCGCGGGCTGCTAACTGCAAGATCAGCAGTTCAAAACGACTGGGTGCCAAGGAACGGGGGCAGCGGTGGGGCTGACGCTTTCTCCTCCTGAAAGGGGCAGTTGAACTCTGTTTGTTCGAGTCCACTCGGTGGCCATGACAGACCCAGTGCCTTGGGTTAAAAGGGTGCTGACAGATTGCCCATGATTGGGGAGCGAGCCTGTTGGTGGGGGGGTATCTTTTGAGGGCCTCTCACCCACCTTGCTGCCCCCAGACCCGGCAGGATCTAACTCAAGGGTGTGAAGCCCTGAGTGCTCTGTTTAGAACCTGACAATGGCATTTGTTTAGAATAAGGTAGAGCTGGGGGGGCGGGGGATGGAGTGGGGGAACAAAGCGTAGCGGGGACCATCAGAAAGGGGCGGAGAGAAGAGGGCAGCCAACAAAGGAAAGGAGCGGGAGAAACGCTGATGGTGAGGAGGAAGGTACCTGGTAGATCCGGGTCCCTCGGGTCTAACCATGTGGAACAAATGATCCTTCTCAACGCTAAGACTTCTAGGGAGTCAGGGTTTGTAAGCCTCTGGGCCTAAACCTCTGGACCCACAGGTGGTTGGTCAGATTGGCTCCAAGCCCTCCCTCATGCAGGCGAGACAAGGAGAGTGTGGCCATTGTCCTAAACAGCCGGCACCCACTAGGTGGCTGCATTGCTAGCCCTCCCCTCCTCTTCTCCCCATGAGACAATCACAAGCTCGTGGACCAGAGTTTCTCCCTACCAGAGTGGCGTTTGGGACCATGAGACGTAGACTGAGATTGAGTTTTCATAGTAGGCATTAGTTGGACTCCGAGCCTCCCCCAAACTGTGGGCAAGTGTTAGGATTGTGTGTGGCTTTGCCCTTTCTGGGGGGAGAGGCCGGAGCTTCCTGCGCTCAAAGGTGGTAGGGACCATGGTCTAAGGGAGAGGGCAAATGAGCTGTCACTGCTAATGGGAGCCAGCGAGGCCTGGGCATGGTTTCTGTGTAATCATTTGAGCTCCTGCTGCTTCAGCTGTGCTTCTCGGCCATCTCCATCAGGGATCCGTTTCCCTCAGAGGTTATGGGGACAAGAAACGGACGCAGCGTGATGGTTGCATCCGTCCAAACCCAGTTACATGGGCTTACAGCCCAGCACCTGACCCACAAAACGTCCCCTCCTCTGGCAGCAAGCAGGTCCCCCTCATGTACCCAGACACGTGCTCTGACCCTCTGTCCTTGGTGACTTTACTTGGAGGTTGGAGAAGGCCCGGGCTGGGCATATCTCCGGAGGCCACAGGATCACTGGTTTTCACAGGAATGGGCATTCCTGCTTAAACCAGTTGACGAAGTTGTTGGTGGAAGGATGCGGACTTACCCAGTGCCTGCGGAGTGCCAGGCGGGCACTGTGCTCGGGCAAGGCATGTGCAAGTGATGAGCAGAGCTTACCTCTCCAGCCACCTTGACCCCGAGAAGGGACAGTGGGCCTGGGGACTACAGCTCAGCTCCCGGGAAGTTCAAATAGCCAACTGGAGACAGACGAGGCACCCCTGGGTGGCGAAGTGAAAAGCATGGCTACTCAGGAGAAGGTTGGCGGTTCGAGCCTAACCGGGAGGCCTCAGAAGGGAAGCCTAGAGTCTGCTTCCCGAAGGTCCCAGCCCTGAAGACCCTACAGAGCAGCGCTGTGTGGGTCAGGATCAAGTCAACGACTTTGGATTTGGTGTTTTCTTCTGGGCACAGACCGAGCACCCACAGAGGCAAACCTCCCTTGGCACCAAGGAGATTCTGACTCATAACAAACCCTCTACAGGTTTCTGAGACTGTCAGTCTTTATGGGAGCAGACGGCCTCATTGTCTCCCTCAGAGCGGCTGGTGGGTTTGAACCACCAACATTGAGGTTAGCAGCCCAACACTTATTCCACCAAGGCTCCTTTGCCTACTGAGACCCAAACCAAGCTCATTGCCATCAAGCTGCTATCAACTCACAGGGACCTTGTAGGACAGGGTAGACCTGTCCCTGTGGGTTTCTGAGACTGTAACTCTTTATGGGAGTAGAACGCCCACCCTGCTGAGAAAACCAAAATAAAAACCCAAACCAAAAATCAAAACAGGACTCGTCGCCACAGAGCCCGTGCCGACTTGCAGTGACCCGGCGTAGGATGGCATAGAACGGCCCCTGTGAGTCTCCGAGACAGCAACTCTTTCCAGGACTAGAAAGCCCTTTCTCCCATGGAGTGCCTGGTGCTTTCGAACTGCTGACCTTGCAGTTAGCAGCCCAATATAGAACCACAGGGCTCCTCTGCCTACTGAGAAGGATCCCTAAAATTAAAAAATATATATAAATAAATAAATAAAATAAAATAAAATAAAATAAAATAAAGGATCCCTAAAATAAAACTGTGCCAGGAGGGCTCCCGGGCCTCCCCGGCATCCACCCATGTGTGGCTTATCTGCCTGGCCACAGGGTGAGGCTTCCTGTCAACATTGCATGTTTGTGTTCAGTCCCTACCTAAGAGGATGCGAGCCTCAGCCAATGGGCATCTTCACTCCCTCACGTGCTTCGTGGAAGGGTGTGCCCATATACAGGAACCGAGATATCTGAGTCCCCTCCAGCTTTGAGCCCCGGAGTTGCAGAGCCTGTGGTCCAGGGGGCAGCACCATCCTCAGAGCTGGTGAGAGGCAGGGTCCCCTGAAAGAGCAGGCCCCAGGCCGGGGAGACACGGAGGCATGCTGGGAAGTGGGAAGTGGGAGTGGGGGTCAGAGAGGCAGAGGCCAGGAGGTACCTTTCAGAGTGCTCCCAAAGTTCTGTCCACTCACCCCTCCAGCAGTGTGCAGATGGGATGAGAACCTGGTCGCCCAGGGGCTCCCCAGTGAGAAGGGACCTCGGCTGACCCCTGCGAGCTTAGCGTCCAGGGCAGGGTTGGGGGTGAATAACACCCCGGAGGCCTCCACTGGGGAGGCTGAGGAGGAAGAATGCACAGGAAAGCGCCCCGGAGGGAGCGGCTTGTGAGTCTGGGCTCCTGATCTTGGCCCTGGCCCCCGACTGGCTGTGTGACCTTGGGCCAGTTCCTTCCCTCTCTGGGCCCCTGTTTCCGCCGGTGTGAAATGAGGACGTGGGACGAGCTGACCTCTGAGCTCCAGTCCAGCCCTGGCGTCCTGTGTGAGGGGGAGAAGCATAGTTGAGCGAGAGGGGTGGGTGGGTGGGTGGTGTTGGAGGGTGGGGGTGGGCTGGGAAGGGTCTGGAGGAGCAGTGTCTTTCTATGGCCCCTGTTTTAGGTGCAGGTCAGCAGGGAGAGTAAATCGAGCCCAGAGTGACAGTGGTCACCCTTCCTTGGTGCTTGCTCCTTCTGGTGTTCTTTCATCCCGACAACCATGTGGTGGGGCAGGGCCCTGTACTCACCCTCTTCTATACAGGGGAATTTGGGGCTACTACATCAGGGCCACTCGAGTCCAGTGGTGGCAAGGGGCTGGGGCTGCTGTGGTCTTCATCGCTGAGCCTTAGAGTTGCAGGTGGGGGTGCACAGACTCAGGTGGGCACGCCAAGCACGCCCTCTTAGTTCTCAAAAGTGGGTGTAGTCCAGTCCCTCCAGGTTGGAAGGAAATTGCAGCGGAGCCATCGCTAGGACTCCTCCTCCTTCTTTGGGGGACAGCCCCTCCCACTAAGGCGGTCCCCTGCCTTTGTAGCGCCTGCCCCTCACCTGTGTCCTGCCCACCCTCCTGGTCTCCCAGGCTGCAGGCCACTGAGTTCCTCTCGGAGCCTCGAGTGTGACGCCCAGACTCTCAGCACCTCTGCCTCCTTCCACTGCCCACCCTGGAAGGTTCCCGTCCCTGGGGAGTCACTTTCTCAAAGTCCTTTTTCTGCCCCTGCCGGCCAGGCTCCTACCCTGAGTCCCCTCACCGAACGTCAAAAAACGGGAAGAGGGTGCTGTGTCCAGGCCACTGTGACTTTAGCAGGTCACCCAAGTGTCCTCAGGAGAAGGTGTGGAAAAGGCCCGGCCTAGTTCCTGGGGGTGGGGTGGGCAGAGGTGCAGAGTGAGGGTGAAGGTGAGCGCCTCACTCAGCAAACACCCCTCTCCCAGCCTCTCTGATGTGGCGCAGCCGATTGGCAGGCTTGGCTTGGCGTGGAGAGCCTAGCTGAAGCTACCCACCCAGGCAGCGCACTTAGGGCCGGGGTGAGGGGGCTGGGAGGCCAGGGTAGGGAGCCCGAGAGCTAGGCCTGGCCTCTCTCCTTCCTCCTGAAATCTGGCCTGTGGGTGGAATTCGGAAC